ATTTTTGATTACTAAAAAAACATCCGTATCATTGTAATGAGAAGTATGTTTGAAGGATGTTACAATTAAGTCAAAGAATTATTTCTGAAATAACAACAAAGATAGGATGGTATCATAATGTTAGTTTCGGCCCTATTGCAATTTCAGTGGTTCACAAATTATCACTTAATAATACACAATCACTGTTGTATTTTGAACAACTTTTTTTTCAAAACTGAAAATGGAGGGTGATCGTAACTAACCCCACCTCCTGTTTTACCTGATGAAGCTGATTCTGCAGCTTGTCATTGGTTGTTACAATTGCCAACTGTGCCTCAAGATCACGATGTACTGACCTATGACCTGCAGCAAAGCAAGAAAAGCATTGCACAGTTGAAGCAGCTGATACAAAAATCATGTCAACAGACTTTATCCACAAAGAAGCCATTTTTTATTATGTTCCCTGAATCTATCTCATTCAATGTAATCAATCAAATGGAATGGTGCCAGACTATTTTCAGTTCCATGCCCCACTTTTTTTTTTATGTTGCATAATATATTAAGATTTAATACAACACAAATTTTAAATTATTCATCATCGTGAATTAAATTACTCTGTAATGAACTTTAATTTCATTGCTTTTATTTTCATTCTTAGGTGCCAAAAATGAAGTTAACGTCCGTTTCCATTAATATGGCTGACTGGTGAAAAGTCGATTGCTACTTTTTCAAAAATCTGTGCAGTAATAAAAATTATCTCCATTTCTGCTTAAACTTTAACATTTTGAAGCCAGCAGTGTTTATCACCTTCAACTGACCACAAAAATCATATTTACAAGAATGAAATTAAAGCACCATTTCTCAAACCTCAGAGACATTTACATGTCTGTGGAAGCAGCTTCAGCCAATGGATAAGAAACTGTCTGACTTTTGGTCCCTGACTTTGGAGAGCTTTCTGACTTTTGGAGACTCTAGCCCTACGCGATGCTGTTTTCTACTTCCGGATCATCAAATTTCAACAAAACAACATCGCAGATGGGAGTATTTCCAACTTTTGTGAACATGGTAGGCCTAGAAACGTTTCAATGGCAAGCAAGCTGACGATGCAGACAAGGTCTTGAAAAATGACCACACTGTTGGCACCAAGCCAACATGGTTTCATTCAATAATCATTGTAGACGGGAACTCTGAATTTAAAGAGCACCTAATATAAATAGGGTTCCAGATTTCATAATACTGAACGGTAAACTATCACTAGTCTATATCAGCCGAAAGCTGTCGATTCCATCCAATCCTAGGAAGGTTTGGGGAACTTCTTCTACCTACCAAAGTTTGGAGAGCCAATCAAGGTTAGTGAGGGCAGAGACTCGCCATGGAGGTAGTACCACAAACCTGCAATGTCACCAAAATTATCCCCAAAGTGATGGGGCTTCTTAAGGGCATTCCCATTAAATAGAAACTTTATTTAAACGATATAAAGAGCATTGATTAAGGTGTCGAGTACAATTTTCTTCGATTTCTTGTGGGACACAGCATCCTGTGTTAAGTATTAATGTGCTTCTTGCAAGTAGCGGTAAGATCTCAAACATTTGGCCCAATTTAACAAAACGGGAAAGGGTTTAGAGTAAAGAGGGTCTGTTCACTTTTTAAATGAGAGCATTTACAAGAAATAGGGTGTTAGAAAGTCTGTGTATGTCCAAAACCATAGTGGAGCGACCTTTCAAGTGCTTTTTTATAGCTTCAAGAATCAATCTACATGTAGGCCAAATCAAGACTTGCAATTTTACCTCTAGTTGTGGCTTCAGGGAGATTTTGAATCTTTCTTTTTAACATTTTGGCTCCAACTGAGATCTCAACTTCACAAAAGTCCAAGGTGGTTTGTATGACTTTCTACCTTTGACATGGAAGGTCCACCCTTGCCTGAAGTATTCATGCATGCTGATTTTGTCTGCTTTATTCCGCCATCGGACTTTCCTCAAAAAGTTCCTGGCGATAAAGGTGTAGGCTGCTGGCACGTAACCCGAGATACCCCTTGCACCAAAGAATCCATTGGCCTGAAAGTAGCCAAAATCAAATTGAAGAAAATTGCCTTTCTGTGGAACTTCACAACAAAAATCTGTTTCAGGAATGCATATTATGGGCTTCTAGAATGGGCCAATCAGAAGTCAGAAAAGCAGTAACTGAAGCCTGAAATCAATTTACATACTTAAAGGTGACTGACCGTTGATCATTCCTACAGAGGACTACTTTTCTTCTCTCCCATCTCTGTGAGTCAGGTTCGAATCCCACTCAGGTTACCTTGAGTTTTGGATTTCACTCCTTTCCTGATGCCATTTGGTTTTCCCAAGAATAATTTCCCTCTCATATTTTCCAGTAAAAGGACCACTATGGGAAAGAAAAATCTTGGGCCTACACTGCAAGCCAAAGGGTAAGCATATTTTGCTTTACAATGTAGATACGACATTGACGCAAAAAAATTGGTCGATGTTGACATCTCCAATTTATGAAATACTTGCAAGTTTCAAAAGTGTAAATTTCTAGTATACCTGCCCCCCCCCCTTTCTCGAATTTCACACAAAAATGGATCCTGCTCCATCCATCAAATCCTTCACGACAAATCGTACCTCAGGGGATGCCATCAGAATACTGTATGTTGCCTTTGACCCCAGCACCAAGTCCATGTATTCTCTGGTCAGATTGAAGTAGCCAGATGCCAAGGCCAGATGTGATGACTCCTCAGCTGATTTGAGAAGCTGACACGTGACATCCTGGTCCACCGTCACCCCAAATGACCCCATCTGGATGAGAGGGAACACTAGGGTATCCCCAACTTGATTTCTGTGCGAATTGCTGTTTGAGCTGGTTGGTTGACTACCACACTGGCTTTGCTTGGGCAATTTGACACTCTGGATACACGACTCAGAATTTGAGGCAATACAACTTGAAGTTGATTCTGTGCCGTCATTTTTCTTGGTCCTTAAGAACTTTGATGTTCCTGAGCAAGGCAGATGGGTACCAATTAAACCAGCAGTCATGTCTGTGGAGCTGGTGACGTCCTTGTGCATTCCCCTATACGATTCCCACGTGGTGATTTCGTCATTAGGATGCCTCTGTTTTCTGCATATAGACTGCCGGTGACTGTGTCTGGTTTCCTGGCTGTGGCTAGAGTGTCTGGGTTTGGTCATGTGACCACCAAACTGGTCCCATTTGGATGGATCTATGACTTCCTGTATTCTGTCCCTTGCAACTTGCTTGAAGTTCAGCTCATCACCTGAAAAACATTTTGTTCTCTATTTTACAACATCTTTATATAGGTTGATGTCTGTCATCGTTTTCACGAATGTTTAACATTGATTGGTTCAAAGTGAGATATGAATACTCCACTTCTAACCATTATCACTCCCCGGCAAGCTCAGTGGTCGAGTGGTTAAGGCGTCTGCACTAGTAAGCAGGAGGTCATGGGTTCGAGTCCCACCCGAGCAAGCTTTTGAATTTTTTCGCAAGCTCTCGGACAAGCACTGAGCATACAGTGTTTATCAATATATACGTTGGGTAAGGGCAAAACCTGTTATATAAATTGACATCTCCCCAATGCAAAAAAAAAAATACATCTTGAAAACATTATCACTCTATCAACACTGAACCTTCCGTTTGTTCTTTTCAGAAAGCACCTCAATACTAAAGAATGCCCCGTGACACTTTATATACGATCCCTTCAATCTTTTGTCAGCTGTTTACAGATTCCTGCTCATGTGGAATGTTCTCGGACATACCTTCGTATGGATGAATGCCGACTTCTGGGTCAAGGGTTAAACTATCATCAGGGTTCAGCTGGAAGGAGAAGGAACTAACAGTGGACACAAGCTCCTGGAAGAAGTCTGCCAAACGAGGGCAGTCTTCCAGCATCACGTAACGGTCCTGGCGATTTGTGAAGTAGGACTCACTTAAATTAGCCCTGAAAAAAATCCAACATATGCAATCACCAGAATCGAAATAAGAGGTATAAATGAGAGAGGGAATGAGGCTTCAAGAATAGATTTTCAAAAAGAAATTTTCAGTCTGGGAAAGTTTCAGATAATACTTCAGATATTTAGCAATACCATTTTTGAAATCTTTCACAACCATGGAATTTTACCAACCAAAACACAAAACACAAAAAAAAACAAATGTTCAGCAGAATTTCACTTACAAAAATGAGAAAAAAATTTGAAGGATGGTCTTTGTCGTTATTAGAAACTCTCCTACCAAAACAGGGTCAACTGAGGCACAATGGCATCTGACCATCATACATGTCATACCCTCTGAGTATCATTTCAAACCAAGCTGGTGTACACTACAAAAGCCGATTTCAGTATCAACGCTTAGAGATCCCAGACAACAGATGAACTTACCCGCTGATAATCAGGGTATCGTCAAAGATACAAACTTTCAGGTGGGACAGGCCAATGACCTCATTGTATCTCTCCGGAATCATCTTCTTCAAGAACCCTCTAAGGTCTGGGGTGTGATACAGCGACACCCGTACCTCTGGCTGGAAGTTCCGAAGGAGAGGCAGCAGCATTGTCCTGGAGTTGTGCTTCCCACGGGAACCTCGCGTGCAGTCCAGGAGGATCTGAACCTCAAGAGGTGTTGAAGAGTTGGCAAGACGGCTCCGCCTACATGCCTCATACAGTGAGACAACCTTGGGAACAAAAAAAAATCACTCCAAATTTCACCCTCAAGAGGTGGACGATGATTAGACTCATGAAGGAAATCAACAGGAAGTGTTTAACCCTTGACAAAAAAACCAATGCTTGGAGCTTGGAGAGGTAGCATTATATCCTTTGAGTTGGGTCCAATAAATGAGCCGGTAGCCAAGTCCATCACAAGTTCATCACAAGTCATACAGCCTTGAACCACGTCACAAGCCATTGAAAAAAACTCAGACAATAGCATTCCTGTCACTGAACATCTTGCTTCTTTTGACAGGACCTGTGAAAAGCCTTGTGGCTAGTCTACAATACATTTGCACAGCTTGATAAATCAAAACTAAATGCTTAATGGCTCAGTGCACTTATTCCAAAAACTTTACAGGGAGAGAGGGTCTCACACAGATCATGTGACAAGGTGATATGTTAAATAAAGCAATAGAAACCTCAATCATGTTAATGAGTTGGTTTGGCAGAATCTGGTATATTGATATATTGAGGTTCTACATTAAAAAGTCTTTGCCTTTAATACCCTCCCTGATCCTAAAAAATCCAGCAGGTGGTTTTTGGAGGATTTTTACGGGACTGAGATAGGTTCAGTTTTATATTTTTACAAAGAACATGCACTGGTGTCCTGCTCAGTAACTGGTTTGGGACGATTCAGAAAGACTCCTTAGGCTTAAACATCCCAAATAATCAGTGTAATGGTTGCTCCTACCTCATCAATCACCACTCTGACTGAGCTATTTCACCTTAGTCACCTCACAGATTATAACGATACTCACAAGCTCCTCCTCCTGAGTTCCTGTGCCAAGATAGAGGGCAGCAAGCACCACTCGACGTCTGCACGTTTCCATCCGTTCCTACAACAAAGAGAGGAAAGATGATTTACCTGATACTCAATAGGTCATGTGCTCAATGAACCGTTGACCAAGTGGGGACTCTTCAGCCAAATAATGTCAAGGGCATATGTTGAGCTAAAGTCCCTCTTTGTCAGTTACACAGGTTTCAAAATGTGGCAAGCATACAGTGTATTAAGTTATAGAACACCGAGAGTTCCAAAACGTAGAAGGGTAAAGTTATCTAACTCAAGATCATTTCAGCACTGTATAAATGGAGCCAAAAGAGGAACCTGGTCTCATTCTTTCTGTCTTAATGCAAAGCTACCCAATGGTCAATATTTCTTTAAAAATTGGATGAGTGTCAGTCTAGTCTGAATCAAAATCATTCACTTTCAATCACTGCTACAATACATGTAGATAAAAGAAAACTTCTTGTGCGACCTGCAATAAGCCTTTTGCAAATTAAATTTAAACAAAATCTGGTACATTGAGTTTTCTGATTGCATAAACAAATTCCCCAGACTAAACACACTGTTGCTGTACCTGAGGATTCGGGACAAGCTGTTGCGTAGCAACCACCATCTCTGGAATGGACTGGTTCCTTGTGCTCTTCTTATCCATGAAGGATAGTGTATTGTTGCAAGGCATCTCTTATGTAACTAAGCAAAAGCTTGCCCCGAATCATGAGGAATAGCAACAGTGTCTTTAGTATGAAGAATTCTAATTGCTATGTTCACATGACCTTAAAAAACTCAGTGTACCAGATTTTATTCAAATCTAACTCGCAAAAGGCTTATTTTGGAGGTTATTCGGGACTTTGAACTTGTATGAAGGATGAATTTTAAGCTCTTTACGGATTAAAGAGGTAAATTTAAATAAGATGGACTTGGGAGGTTTTCAAAATCTCAAGGTCTGTTGGGATTGACTAAATACCTAACAGGCCAAATCTTTGTATTGTCAATATCGTCCCTCCCAATAATGATATCCCTAAAAAAAATGAATATACATTTGATTTGATGAGAAAATACATACCTTGAGAGTCTCAAAATATTCCTGGGGTCCTTTCAGAACTGTGATTTGATTGCCACTAACCCAGAACCCTGGTGCTCTATCAGAGACCCAGGCAAAGTGTTCAAAGACATCAGCATCACCCTCCTGCAGTGTTCCCCTGGAACAGAATGATGAATGTGATGACGAAGCACCGGGAGTGTCCTTACTCAAACAATAAGCCCGTCTTTGAGGCAAGTCAAATGCTTGTCGGTAACTCCCAATAAGTCTCCCATGGAAAAGACGGAGCCTATTTTGAAAAGAAAAGAATAAAGGTAAGATTCAGTGACTGAATGAACTTTAAACACACTCTAGGCTTGGTTGACTAGACACAACGGACGCAGAACCGGAGAGCAAACCATACAGCCACTGGGAAACAGACAGTGATAGATATGTAGAAGCCTTAGTGTTAAACAATGGGCTCTGAGCTGGACCAAGAGAGGGCACAATTTTCTTAGCAACAGAGGCTCCTTTGGTAGGGAATTCACTTCGCTCGATCACAAACGACTATGAGGTGCAGGCACTGAGTGCACGTCATTACCATAACAAAACAAACACTCCCGACCTGCAGGGCTCTTTTCAACCAATGAGGGGGTGCTTCTGCTCGAGGGGGTCGGTCGATGGCAGAATTATCAAAAATCATGCAATATGATCGACCCATCCCACAAAGATCAAGCAACTGTGCATATCAACTAATTGGGCCAAATATATGCAGGCACACAGCCACGTCCAACTTGACCAGTAGCCTGGTCAAGTTATTAATTAAACAGCCATTGTGGTCTCTATGGACCTGTTATCCCTGTATGGTTCCCTCACCCAAAAGTTCCAGACTGTGTTTATTGCCCATTCCACAATCAGCAATAAATTAATGTAGTAAACGAAAGGCAGTATCGAAGCAACATAATAGAAACCAATATTTGTCCCAAAGACGAATAGTGTGGGAAGCGCAGTCTGGACAAATTGATGAGCTGCTTGGATGAATGAAGCTGTAGAACACTGTGGGGCTCAGAGGAAGCTTTCCTGCAAAGTATGGGCCTTTTGCCACTTTTTACTAGTTTGGGTTTAGGGCCAAGACCACAAATGTAGTCCAGACTAGACATATACCATAGGCAGCAATACTTTGTTTTCATCCTCAAAAATCATAGTTTGAACCGTCATTTCCAATAAAATATCTATCTAAACACATCAACACGTACACATTTTAGAAAATCCATTAAATTTAATCAGAAGCCATAAAAAAGAAAATTTCACTGCCACAATTGCAGCAAAATTCATACCACAAAGGCATACAGCTGAGATTGAATACATGTCCTGCAGACCCCCAAAACCAGTGTGCTGATCGATAAAATCCCCGTCAAATTTCACAAATCAACAAAAAATAATTAAACAATTGATCAAATATAGACAAGAGAAAGTCTAATGTCATCTCTGATAGAATTATCAATGATTCTGACAACTGTTCTGATGCGATATTTAACCCGGATGAGAAGAATGAATTTCAACAGGTTTTTAAGAAACATTTTCTGGACAAGGCAAAATGGCCGACCTGTGACTACATATATGTCACCAAATCTTGTGTATTTCGTGTAGATTCAAGAAAACATCATAGAAAAGGGGTTCCATATAATTTGGGTTATTTTGAGACATGGGGAAATACCAACACAGCTGCACTGGAGCACTAGACCAGCAAAAACAAAATCTAAAATGAGGCTGAGTATCAAATCGAGAGCACTGTTCGACAAAGACTGCCACATACCTATATGGATCAATGGAAGCCTACATTTGGGGGAAATATAAGGTCCAGACAGTGGAGATAAATCCAGGAATGATCATCATGGTCCATCGGGAGAAAGAATGTTGCATCCTGACTCCACTTCAACAGTCATGTTCTTCAGAATCTTCAGAAATTAAACTACATGAAATCGCCTGGATGGGCTTTCTAACATGTCTATGTACATGTAGTGTACTCTCAGGTTGGTCATGTTGGCGTTGGTTGTGCATTCTCAATTTCAGGTCATGTACATGTCATGCATGTACGTTTTGGTGAATGGATATTTTTCTACACGTATGCTTGTGAATTCCTCCAATTTTTTCCCTGTTAGGCCCTAATTATGACTTTTCATGTCATTATTGCTTTCGGAATAGGCCATGGATTTTTTTCCTACGTACGCCTACCTCCATGGTACGTTGCATGATTGGCACTGCCATGATGATGGGCATCACATTAAATTGCTGCATCAAATTTAATAACGTTATCATTGTTACTGCGTTTATGACTGCCCGACAAACTAACTGTGTCTTAAGATAAAGGACTGTCGACAAATACCCTTAAGAGACAAACAACCTTCAGAAAAAAAGCAAATACTGGGCCAACCTTGCGCCATGCCACCATAATGTTCTCAGAGACGACACTGAAGCACGAGCAGCCTGCACGGGCGCTGCCATCTTGAATGTCTTGAATGCACTGTGTCAGAAGAGGGCGCTAGTACGCTTCGCTTATGGGGGGTGCAGTGTCCCATTTCAAGGAAAATTCTCCGCCAGGACGAAGCGCACAAAAAGTACCCCCCCTCCCCGAGATTGTTTCGAAAAGAGGGGTCTGTTTGGGCCAAGAAATGGTGGGATTGTATCAGTTTGGCCCAGGATCATCTCTGTAGATTCAGGGGCACACATCTGGGGGCAAAGCAGACG